ATGAAGACAACGGGAGAGACAGAGAGACCGTACGAAAGACCAACGAGTGAGCGAGCGAGAGGGGACCATTCCAATTTTCTATATACGCACGCAGGTGTACATAGTCATCTTGACGGGTACCATTTGGCATGCAATGTCAGATCCAACAACGCGGTTCCGATGCAGAGGACTGCTAACTATGATCAAGCTTGTGATTGATTAGCTCGTGCGCGCGCCTAGCCGCAGACAGATCGGAATATGACTACATGTATACACTTGAATATATCAATGCATCTATATATATGTATATTCATACATACATACATACATACATACATGTATATATATATATAGATATGTATATAGGTGCATGCGTGTGCGCATGCCCAGATATATACATAGATATGGATGGCGGACAAGAGTGCGCTGCGGAGTTACCGTGCGCCATGGGAATGCTGATAGGACGTGCTGGGGGGCGACGGAAGCAGCAACCATGCAATGGGGGTCAAGAGGGCCAGGGTGGCAGGGGGGGGGGGGGGGGGCAACCATTGCCAGGGGATCGGAGCGAGGAGGCTCCGGAAACGAGCTGGAGAAGGAGCGGGGGGAAGTAGGGAAGGACGCGATTGCGAGGCAGAGTCACATCTAAAGGGAAAGGGTGACAAATAGTGAGGGGCGAGGGGAGTGGAGGACAAAGAGGACAAGTCCTTGACCGTCTTGTGCTTCAAGGGGAGGCGCGACCAGTCCGCGAAGACGTGCAGCTGGTTCATTTGCGGCAGCGCCGTGTACCCCATTCGGGGCACGAAGCCTTTTATTTTTAATGGGGGGAAGCTGCTCCGCGGCACGTGGAAGCCTCGCGATTGCGATTGCGCCGATTATTTCGGCATCGCGTTCGTGGACCAGTTCCCATCCCAGAGTTAGTCGTTAGGGCGGCAGGTGTGCCCAGTCAGGCGCGCGGCGCGCCCCAGCTGGCCCCTGCGCTCGCGATGGGGATCCTTGATGCATTCGCTGCCGCCTAGGGATGAGGAGGTTTGGGATCAGGCGTTGGCGACATTAATTACCTGGGCGTCTGGGGTGGCCCCTGCGGCGGCGAATGCGTCTGGTGAAATCCTTCTCCAGAGTAATATTCTGGTTCATCCAATCTATCTCGCCCATGGGGGTGGGTTCGCAGTTGGCAGTCGGCCAGCTGGCGTTGGAAGTTGGAAGGGCTGCGCTGCGAGCAACGTCGAAGCTTTTGTTTTAGGGCGGGCGCCGTGCCCTTGCAGGGCGACGATGGCGTTGGCCATCAGGTTTGCCCTCCGGGCCAGAGCCCTGCACTTGCGCCGCGGCGGCTCGGGGAGATGGCGCCGCGCGCCCAAGGGGGAGGGGGGCTGTGTGCGCGCAGACAGGCTGAAGGGGGATAGGTGCCTGAGGGCGGGGGGGGGGTGGGTGCCCGAGGGCGTCTGAAGGGGGATGGGTGCCTGAGGGCGGGGGGGGGGGGGGGGGGGGGCGGAGGCGCGGCTGGGGGGGGGGGGGGGGGGGGGGGGCGATGGACCCATCCAACGTCTTGGCCCCCCCCCCTCCCCCCCATCCCGGGGAGGGGGGGGGGGGGGGGAGAGGGGTTGGGGGTGGGTGGGTGGTGTGGGCGGGGTGGGGTGGGGGGGGGGGGGGGGGGGGCAAGACGTTGGCGCGGGGGGGGGCGAAGGGGGGTAGCAGGCTAATGGCGAAGAAGAACGGAGGAGGCGACTGAGCAACACCTTATCTCAGAACAGCGGGCCAGCACGCAAGCGCGACGCGCGCCAATTCGGCGCGATGCACCAGGGGGTGCGTCACATTGCTGGGGGATTGCCTCGGACGTGCGGGGTGTCGCAGCCCTACTTGAAGCGCCTGCTGATTATCAGTTTCGCGTGGCCTCTCTTTGCGAGGCCAGGTGGGTTGGCCAGGCGCGGCAAGCTTGGCCGCGCTGCTGATCTACTGCTGCGCCGCAGCAGCACTATACATATACACGAATGTATCATGCAACATCTCGTGTGCAACAGAAATGGCGGGCGCAACTTCGCGGGGGGCGCGAAGGGCAGCACTGCGTCGGAATATGATTGGCATTCTCCTCTCCGCCCCCGCCGCCCTTCGCCAGGTCGTCGTTTCACTGGCCTCCGTTGGATTCGCGGTCGCGTGTGCGACTTTGTGACGTGCAATCGTGCCCCCCTCCATTCGCTCGCCCCTTCTTTCGCTGACCCCAGTGGGCTCGTCTCACAAGCAAGAGCGCCCGATGCCTTTGGCGCGCGAGGCCCCGTCTCTGCGTATCCGCGGGCCGCGTCTGCCGTGTCCGCCCAATAAATGCGATCACCCCCCCGTGGATCAAATCCCCTGGGCACCCTCCCCGCGCAACCGTGACCGCCGCGGCCGCCTAGCCAAACCCCTCGCCACTGCCGCCCACCCGGGGTAGTGCTTCATGGACGGAGGTAGCCGAGGTAGCCATTCATTTATACATCTATATATATGGATATACAGGTGTTTGTATATGTACACATCCTATGCGCCCCCCGTTGGGGCGATCGTTGGATCTATATGGAGGCCAAATGGGACTTAGATAGGGGTGCGGGCGTGTCATGGCAAGGAAGGGCGGGGATGTTCGCGTTAATTTTTAATACCTAACATGGTCTTGTCGCCCCCCCTCAAAAAAAACAAAAACCCAACGAGATGTCGTTCTCCCGTGCGCGGCCGACGTTCGCCCTCAAGATTGCGTGGCATGGTTCATCTCGTCATTCTCTGCTGGTGCCGCGCGTGCCTCCTGTGCGATGCTGCTGCCCCGTCCCCGACCCGCAGGCTCGGCGATGCCGCGCTGCTGATCTACTACTGCACCAAGCAGCACTATACATGGATACACGTCTGTATCATACATACTTGGTCAACCTGGGCGGCGCGAGTGAGTGAGGTGAGGGCAAGGCCGATGACAGAAGCGGGGGCATTCGTGGCGACGGGCTGGCAGAAACCGCTGAGGGCCAGAGGAGTCCGAGGGGCGATGCCAGCGAGGCCGGCAGAGGAGAGGCAGAGACGGAGGGTGCGGCAGCCAGGGCTGCAAACTGATGGAAGGCCAGGGGGTGAAAGGGGAAAGGTGGGTCGGAGGGGATGGTGAGAGCGCAGGAAAGAGCAGGAACTCGTGCCTCGTCGAACCCATCCGTCGTTTCCCCCACTTCCACCCCCGCCCTTCTCTTTGGTCTTGCCCCTGTCCCCCCATCCGCGGGCTTCGTCGCGCCCGTCCCTTTACAGACCGACCCGCAGACTCCGCCCTTCGTCGTCGTCCGACCTCTCCCTCCGACCTCCCTCGGCATTGTGAGTCCACTACTTCTCCCTCGCCCCTCTGCTCTCTTCCCTCGCGACTCCTTCTGAGCGCGTCTCCCTGGCATCCTGCCCCGCCCGCCTTGGACAGGTCCTGGCGCTCGCCGAGTGGGCGGGCGTGGCGGGCGCAGCGGTCTTGCTCTGGAGTCTGCCGCTCGCCTGGGGGCAGGGCGGGCGACGGGCTGGAGGCGCGGCCCTGCCGCATTAGCATCCATAATGTTCCAGAATGAGCGCGAATAGGTGGCTGCTCAGATAACTTGCGCGACAGCGCGCGACGCGATGGCCGCCCTCGTTGGCAGCGGCCCCAAAGGGCCCCCTGACCCAGACTGGGGGCGATCGGACCTCGATCCCGAACCTCTGGACGCGCGCGGAGCGAGGGTGGTGGTGGGGGTGATGGGCGGGGGGGGGGCATCGCACCGTAGCGCCACTTGTGCGTATATGTCAGCGCACGGTGCACATGGCGCGGGTCCCCATGTAGGCAGGTGCGCACGCTCAGGCGCGTAGCCTAGCACGGGCGAGCGTGCGAATCAAGTGTCTCTATTTGGCACCTCGGAACGATATATCCAGCGTGGGCCATGTTGTGGACGCGCCGGCGGCTATATGCATATGTAGTTTAAGATGTATGTATACATGTGTAGATACGTATATATGCATCGAGAAATTGGTTGGCCCGACAGATGGGCACGTCGACGGAGCGAGAGTGAACGAGAGAAGGGGAGATGCACAAACAATAACGGCATCATTAGATACTTGTGGTAGTTGCATACACAGATATGCATGCGTAATGAGGGGGGGGGGGGGGGGGGGGGGGGGGGTTGCAGCAAGGAACGCGCGCATGCAAAACGAAACCGCACGCGAAACGGACGAGATTCCGACGGCGGAGCGGGCCAGCGGTTGGATGCAATCGCGCCCAGGGCGCAAGCCCAAGCCTCGCCGACTTGCCCGTCATTGCTGAGGGCCCCCCCTGGCCAAGGCAATAGAAACATGCAAATTCACGCGGACCTGGCCGTCAACCTTTGCGGCTGCAATATGCAATGCAAATGCGGCGGGGCGCCCCCGCCCCGCCCCTGGCGCGAGCCAGCGCCCGCGACTGCGCGGGGGGATGCCGAAAAGGAGCGAATTGGCGCACTGCCGTCTGCGCCTTGCCACGGAGAACGGGGCGCGGGCTAGATGGCGCTTCGGTGCCAAATCCCACCGCGCCGACAGCGGCGCCCACGCGCGGCGCCCCATAAGGGGATATTTGTGCCTGTGTATGTATGTGTGTATACATGCACGGATCTACACATCTGCGCAATACAAAATCGCATGCATGGCACATGGGTGGCGGCGCGCGGCATGGCGACCGCCCGCGCGCATGGGGCGCGCGTTCTCGCGCATGCAGCGGCGCGCACGCGCGCGTTCTTCGCGCGCGCGGTCGCGCGGATCGGGCGCGCAGCTTGCGGCGGCGTTGGCCGTTCGTTCACAGAGCGCGGGCGCGAGGCGCGCGTTCGCGCGTGCGCGCGCGGGGCCCGAACGCGCGACAGTAACTTCCTCCTATGCACGCCTGCATGCGCGCGTGGTTTGTGCGCGCAGAACGCCCGTGCCCGCCATTGTTGTTGGTGGAAGCGGTTGTGGCCCCCATTGTCATTGGGTGCATGTCAGCAGGAAGCACAGTGTGGCGCGCCCAGCGTTGCGCCCGCTTGGTTGAAATATCGCTGCCAGGCAGAATGGCCGCGGACGGCGTGAAGTTCGACATCACCATCTTCATGGTTGACCACCATCTGTTTGACGAGATCGCGAGGGGGAGCGTGCGCATTACCAAGGTCGCCGAGATGAGCCTCTACATCCTGGGCCACAGGGACAGCGCTGGCCCGATGCCCCGCGCAGGGATGACAGGGCTGGCGAGGAAGGTGACTGAACGGATCGCCGCCGCCAGGGTAGATTCCCACAACCTGAGGATGACCGACTCCACCGTGGACGTCGACCTCTTGCCAGGCATATTGTCCGCCACAATTGGCCACCATATTGGCGAGACAGACATAGACGACGTCTATGCGCGGGTCCGCGACGATCTCGCAGCTGCGGCGGTGCCGAAGAGGAGGAAGCTTTCCGCGGCGCCCGACCCGCGCGCGCTGCTGGCTGCCGCGGTCCAGGGGGCCAGCCCCGAGCCCTCGGCGGTTGTGCCAGCTGGCGGGCCGCCCCCTGTCGGTGGCGCCCTCGCCCCGCGCGCTCAGCCCAGGCCGACGGCGGCCGTGTCCGCCGAGGACTTGATACTCGCCATCCAGCGCAGGGAGGAGGAGATAGGCGCGGCGAGAAAGGAGCTGGAACGGGCGAAAGAAGCCGCCCGCTATTACAAGGCGCGGGCGGCAGACTTGAAGGAGAGGCTCGACAATTCCCAGTCGGAGCTGGCGCTCGCCCGCGCAATGTCAAGCTTTCGCCCTGGGCGAAAAGTGGTTGAGTTTGGCGGGTACAGCTTGGCGCTGCGCAGGAACAGGGCGCGCGCGTCTGCCTTGGCGACGGCGGAGATGGTGCTGGGGTGCGACGGCGAAGGGCAGGGTGGCAGGGCGCCCGTGACCATGCGCGAGTATAGACTTGCGGCGGCCAAAGTTGTCCGAGCCAAGGGGTTCTACAAGGCGTGTCTCCACGACCTGCCCCGCGCGTTGGACGTGCACCTTTTGAGAGGCGACGCCACGAACTCGGAGGCTGTCCAAAAGGCCAAGGTCCACGTCTCCATCGTCCACAGCAGCGTCGGCAACATCTCCGAGATCATGGACGCGATCGGCCAGGGAACGGTTTCGCCAGATGGCGTCGCCCCGTTCGTGGACACCCTGTCGACGACGGGGGGTCTTCTGGAGGCCCACCGCAACACTGGGGAGGAGACCTGCCAACATTGCGAGCGACTTCGAGAGCATCCACTGCCCGACGTGGAAGGAGTGCACGCGGTCCCCCCGCGCAGAGGGCCGCTGCACGGTCTATTGTTTCGGTGTTGATGCGGGCCCAGATAACGTTGGGATGCTGACCAGCATTCGTCGGGACTTGGCGGGCGCTGACAGCGCGATGTACCAGGCAGTGTTCTGTTTGCTCCACCAGTCGCACCTGATCGTGAAAGACCTCCTTGCTCGGCTGGAGGAATGGCAGCGGGGGCCACTGGGCGAGGACAGGCCCTACTGGGGAACGGTGGCCACGCTCGCCAATGTTTGGCGTTCACGCGGGATGCCCGCGAAGGTCCACGAGGCCGCGCTGGTGGAATGCCCCGACCCCGCCATTGCGAACAAATTGTTCAAGAAGTTGCCCAGTAGACCGCTTCGGGGGCGCTGGGGCAGCATCGCCGCCGTCGTGGGCCGAATCGCGGGGGCGGCGCGGTACATCGGAAGCGTGTTCCAGAGGGCGCTCGGGCCCATTGCCGACGGCGAGGGGAGGGCCCCGCGGAGGAAAGGCGCCGGCGCAGACGAGGACCAGGCTTTCCAAGAGCAGCAGAAGAACTACAGGCAGACTGCTCTGGTCTGTGCGGCTTCGAACCTGTGGGCGGCCGCGGTCATGATATCCGAGGCCGCGAAGCTGCCCGTCACGACGTCCCTCTTCTGGACGCAAAAAAGAAAAGGAATATGAGCAATGCGTTCGGGCGGCCCAGCCGTCCGCATACTTGGGGGCGACGCTCCTCTCCGACCTGGTGGCGAAGAAGGCGGGGTCGGTCTATGCGGAGTTGGGGGCCCTGTTGGGCGATGGGGCCGACGGCTCGGGCGACCCTTGGGGGCGCGTTTGGGAGCTTCTGCCAGAGGACCAGAAGTCCAGAGCGCGGCTCCTGATCGTATCGCTGGCGCTGAGAGCAATTGGGGGGTGGCAGATGAGGGTGCTTGAGAAAGTTGGGAGTTTTCCCTTCTGTCTCCTGCGCATCCTCGAGAGGCCCCAGGTTGCGTCATCCGAGGCTGCGGTGGCCGAGCGCAAAGCGATCGCGCACCGTCTTCTCCACGCTCCGCGCGGGGAGCTCAGCGCCGTGACTGGCGACCTCGCTCTGGCAGTGAGGAAGATGTTCTCGGTCGACTGGTCGGACATGCAGCTTACTGGGGAGTGCTCAGGTCGGCTCTATAGCTGGCTGCTGATAGTGCGACCGCGCCTGCCGCATGACACGCAGGACGTGGAAGGCATGAACTCCGTCCTTCAGGGGATGTGCGACGTCGCCCCGAACATCCACATCCCACTTGCTTCGGACCGCATGCGGATCAAGCTTGGTGCGCCCATCTCCGCGGAGACCTGCGTGGACATGCACCGCGCAATCCTGGGCTGCCTCGCCTCGCAGAAGCATGTGGAACGCTTCGTGGACTTCCCCGCCATCCGCGACGACGTCGGGGTCAGCGGCAGCGCGGGGGGCGCGGCGGGGGCGCGCCCAATGCCCGCGCCTTTGCCACCGAGGCCGCACGTGCGGGACGGGCTGGTGCAGGCCTGCAGGCACGCTGGGTCCATGGCAAGTCTCATGCCCGCGTTCGCGTCGATGGCCTTCGCCCTCGCGCCGCCAGGCGCAGGCGACAGGCCCGCTTTCCTGATGTGCTGGAAGTACTATCGCAGGGCCAGCATCGCTTGGGGCATCCTGAGTCCCCTTAGCGGGGGGCTGTCGCTACTTCGCATGGGCGACCCTGTGCGGATCGCAAAGTTGGCAGACGCGCTCGTGGGCCAGGTGCCCGACGGCGGGGCCCCGATGACGATCTGGCGCGGGCGCCTCAATTGGCTGACGCTTCGGCTCGCAGAGCACGGCGAGGAAGAAGCCATTGCGGTGGGGCCTGCGAAGCTTGCGCAGCCGAAGTTGAAGGGCGGCGGCGCCCCCCCCCCCCCCCCCCGCGGGCGCAGGGGGCGACGGGGCTGATGGCCCAGGTGGGGCAGAAGCAGAGGGGGACGGCGAGCTCGACTACTTGGAAGAACTCTTGGGGGAGCTGATTGAGGCTGGCGAGGATTACCACGGCAGCGGGTACGAGGAGAAGCTCGCCGAGCACCCAGAAGACCAAGAGCTCGAGCCCGACGGGGAGATGCCAGACGACGAGGGGCCCGCCGACGACATCGGCGGGCCCGACAATGCCGAGCCTGATGGCGATCGCGCCCCAAGCACGCCCCGCCTCGCACAAGCGCCACTCGCCGTGCGCGTCTCGGTGAACGATTCGCGCGGGAGGCTCTCGGACGCGGTGGCTCGGGCCCGAGATGCCGCTGGGAAGCCGCTCATGAAAGGCGCGGTCAGCCTAGCAATCAAGCCCGATGGTCACCCAGTCCTAATCATTTGGGCACAGCCAGAAGTCCAGATGGGGCGGCCGATGCGGATTGATGAATGGGGCAGGATCATTGCTTTGGCCGCGTGGCTGCAGCCAGAGGCCGACTTCCGCGACGCAGCCGTCGTGGTGGCGGACACGGGCATGGCGCAGACGAAGGCCCCGAGGAAGCTGAGAGCGCACGCTGAGCCGTGGGTATTGCTTCTGCGCTTGCAGGCCCACACGAGGCTACACCAAGGGCCGCTGGTCCCGCCTCCGAAGGAGAAGTGCGCGGTCTGCGCTGCTGAGGTGGAGGCGGACCCCCGCGCCGTCTTGCCCGACGAGCTCGCGCTCTACTACCGCTGCCAGAGCTGCTTGCTGCTGTGGCACGACTGCTGCGCGAGGAGGTGCGACGGCCCCAATGACTTCGATAACTTCGTGTGTCCCGTGTGCGCGTAGGCTGCGGGGGCGCCCGCGCGCCGTGGAGTCGCGGGCTTGGCGGTGCGATGTGGGCGCTCGTGTGCATGATTGTGAATTTACTCGCGGCCATTCTTATGGCGGGGCTGCCACGCCGAAGGCGCGCGGCCCAGATCCGATAATGCAGGTGGCATGTGGTGGCGCGTCCGTTTGACTACGCCCCCAAGCAGCCACCACGACAGCAAATGTACCGACCATTGGAATCGTTACCTGCGCCCGCCAACTGCATGGACAAAGCGTGCGTCGTGGTGTCTCGGAGACGGTGCCTCGCCGAATGCTTCTCTGCGTTGGCGAGGAGGAGGAGGAGGAGGAGGAGGAGGAGGAGGAGGAGGAGGAGGAGGAGGAGGAGGAGGAGGGGGGGGGGGGGGGGGGGGGGGCAAACCACGGCGATTGGATGGGTTGCGCAGGGCGTTAGGGCGTCGGGGGCGCACTCGTTTGCGGGGGGGGGGGGGGGGGGGCGCGAACACTCGGACCAGATGGGCATGCGCGGCTGCAAGGGGGGCGTGGAGGAGAAGCGTTATTGCCACAGCTGGGGTTGCCGTCGCTGTTGTCATTGGTGCATCGTCGCCGTCGGCGGCGCGATCGCCGTCGTCGTCGTCGCTGTTTTCGTCGTCGCTGTCTTCGTCGTCGCCAGTGTAGCAGCCTTTGCTATTAGCAGCGTCGGCGTCATTGTTGTCGTCGTCGTTGTTGTCGGCGTCGTTTCCGTCGGCGCCGTCGGTGCCAGCGCCGGCGGGCCAGTCGTCGTCGTTATCGGAGGCGGTGTCGTTGTCCTGTGCATTCGTCGTCGTCGTATTCGCCTTCGCCGTGGCCATCCTCGCCGCGTTCTCCACGTGCGCCCCCGCCCTGCCGCGCCTCCTCCCCGCGCCATGTGCCCCGAACCCCAGCTCCGGCCTGCCGCGCGAGTTGCGCGACGCGCTGGCCATGGCGATCGTGGGCGACGGTGCCCCGATGATGGGCGCCGTCGAGTACGAGACCGCGGAGGCGCCGCCCCTCTCTTGGACGGGGGCGCCCGGCAGCGGGTGGAGCGGGCAGGTGGTGGAGCCGCCGCGCAGTGCAGGGCGCCGCGATGCGCGCGTTGGCGGCCGCCTTTGGGGGCGGGGGGGGGGGCGCGCGCGCGCGCGGGCGCGCAGGACCGACCCGAGCGCGTGGGGTCGGCGGCCGACGGCGCGTGAGATGGGGGAGGGGCCGCGCGCAAATGGAGCGATCCCAGGGGGGAGGGAGTCTTTGGAACGGGGCAGGTGGGGGGTCGCGTGGCCGTTCGGCCGCGCGCGCAACTTGCGACGATGCGCGGGCGCCCCTCCCAGGCCAGAGCGGCGCTAGGACAGCGGCGCGGTCGTGAGTGCAACATATGAGTGGCGCGTCGCCACGTGTTGGTGCATCCTAGGCCCCGACGGTCGGCGCGCGAGCGGCGATGGGCCACTGCCTGCGGGAGTTTTGCGCGAACCAACCTGGGCGTGCATCCCGCGCCGCCCCGCGCCCGACGCGGCGGCAATTTGTTCGCGCAGCGCCCCGCGTGGGAAATATATTCACAAGCCCTGCCACATAACAGAACACCATGCGATGCGCATGCCAGCACGGGGTCCATACAACGAGATCAATGGGACCCCATGGGCCAGGGGGGCCATACAACGAGATCAATGGGACCCCGTGGGTTTTGCACTCGCACGGCCCATGGGCGCCTCAAAAAGTGTCATTCCATTGATCTCGTTGTATGGACCCCCCCCTGGGGGGGGTCCATTGAATGAGATCAATGGAATGGCTTCTTTTGGTAAACTATCGGGCGTTTGTTTTTCCTTCTTTTTTTGAGGTTTATATATATGTATATATATATATATATTATGTGTTTTTTTCTTTTTGTTGATCGGTGGACACTATTCATGGATTGTGGTTTCATTGTAGTGTAGTTTCTAGTTTCTGGATTGTTTTAGCCATGTATGTGTGCGCGTGTTTTTTGGTTTTTAGTTTATGCGTGTATTCGATGTGCGATGTCGTGCGAACTGTGCCAGATTCGATAGTTTTGTCTGGTGGTTACATATGTGTTGTGTGTAGCGCGCTTCTTGCGCAACCCGTGCGCGTGCGTGGTAGGCTGCTGTGATGCGCGATGCGCGTGGCGCGCGCGTTGCAATGGAGGTGCGCGTGGTTGCACGCAGATTGTTATATGCACCGGTGCAGATGGCCTAGCGATGCGCACACGGTTTTGACGTGATGATTCATTTAGAGTTGCGTCGTTTTGTGCGCTGCGTAGTTCTATCCCGCCTGTGCGAGCGGTCGTGTTCGCTGCGATTGTATATCGCGCATGCCGTGGGGTTTGATTGACCATAGACGTGGCCTGGTGCCGACCTCTGAACCTCACTCTCAAGCTCGCCCCTGGTGGCTCTCCCCTGCCCCCTCTCTCTCTCTCTCTCTCTCTCTCTCTCTCTCTCTCTCTCTCTCTCTCTCTCTCTCTGTCTCGCCCCCCCTGTCTATCTCATGGCGCCCCCCCCCTTCCCAGCCCTCTCCTTTTCATGTTCCCTCTATCGCTATTGTCTGCTCTCGCTCGTGCTCCGCGTGCCCCCCCGTCTGCCCAGAAGCGTCTTTCTCGCCTTCCCCGCGCGCCCCTGTGGCGCCGCCTCGCAAGGAGCGCAACGGACAGGGGCTATCTACACTGGAGATGCTCGCCAAAGTGGAGGGCGAGTTCTTGTTGTTCCGGGGCAAGCACATCCCGCTGCTGTCCAAGACAGGCGAGATTACGATTGCGAGGGGGGGGGGTGCTTGCAGCGAAAGGGCTGTCGCTCGTGACTGCTGAGGGGTGCCTGCTATGTCCGCTAAGCCGTGTGGCGTCTGTTTTTCGGCTGGGACTTCAACGGAAGCTCGCGCGCGCGTATCCACCATGTGTTCCTCATAGCGTGCCCGCCCCCTCGTGGACCTCGACCCATCCTGCTCGCGTCTAGGTACCCCTCCCCGCCGACTCCTCTCCAGCCCTGCCCTCCCCCTCCCCCGCGCCCTTGGATTTGTGGGCCCACCTCTGCTTGTGTTGCCTTGCCCCCCTTTCAACCCCTCCACTCAAAGATGGGGCCCGATGGAGAGGGGCGGCTCGATCGTCGCGTGGCTTCACGCTCGCATGCCCCCCCCTGCCCGCGTTGGCACGAGGATCGCGAGGGGCGTCCGCAACTGCGGGGGGAGGGGCCAGGGCGCATGCGGTGTCGTGGAGGAGGGGGTACTCCGAGGTAAGCTGCGTCATGCGAATGCGCTGTGTGGGATGGAGTGTCAAGCGTTGTCGGCTGGGACATGTTGCCCATCATGATTTCGCCCCCCATCCCCCCCCGTATCTGTCTGGAGCGCCGGTCTGTCGCGTCTCACCGTGCCGTGGTCTTTCGTCCGGGTAGTGGCGTCGCGGCGTCGCTGCTAACCTGCCCAGGAGATCGGTTGCCCCCCCCATGTCATTGCGGATAGGGAAGGAGCGACATCGTTGGAACGACCGCGGAGACGAAGCATCGATTCTCCAGCGACAGCGGAGCATCGAGTCCGTGGGCCTCCTCCACGACAACAAGGGGGCGGCCTACTTGATCCAGCACGTCGATGAGACCAAGGAGGACCAAGGGGTGTGGGCGGGCTTGACGTCATTCCCGCGACGCATGGGCCATTGCGATGGTGGTGAAGGGCGGGGGTGCGCATGCGTGAGGGTCGCCGCGTGTTCGACCATCACCGTTGATCCTCGTCGGTCCTCTTCTCTCTCCGTTCTGTTATCCCGCGTGCTCGTGCTTGTGATCAAAGCGGCCAACGAATGCCCCCCCTCAGTTCCACGCATGGCCACCGCTTCCTTTACCTTGTGACTCCGTCCATCATTCGACCCCGATTCGACCCCCCCCCCGGCGGGCGGGCGGCGCGCCTCGGCCACGTGCAGCCAGGAGTTCTGGGACGCAATACACGGCGCCACTCTTGCTCAAGGTATGAAGCGAGCCTGGCAGACGGACGCGCACAAGAATAACCCCAACGTGCAAAAGTAGGGGGGGGGGGGGGGATGCGCGATGAGGGGGGATGGGGGACAGCCTGAGATGGGCAGCAAGAGTGCTAGACACACATGCGAATGAATCTGGATGGGGAACGCGGGGCAGGGATGGTTGCCCGCATCATCGATCGAGGGTGGGCCTGAGCGATGGGGCGGGCAGAACATTCGATGTGCGGATCCATGGGCAGGTCAATCATGAACGGGTGGCCACACTGCAAGTGCTTCAGGCGGGACACTACCCGCGGCTGCATCGCTTTCTTGAAACGGGTCGGGAACTCGACCAATTCGGATGCCACGGTGGGTGGGGCTCCTCTCACTTCAGTGGTCTCCTTAACCGCCCATGCCCACATCACATTACGCAACGCTGGCATGCCAGAGAGAGAGAGGGATAGAGAGGTAGAGGGGGGGAGTCATATATATATATATATATATATGTATCTATCTACATAGGCAACGGTTGTGCGAGAGGATCTGCATACAAGGGATGTGCGAGGGACATGGGTCTGCACGAGAGATGAGACAGATAGAAACTGGGCGAGAGAGAGGGGGAGAGCAAGAACGGCCGAGAGAGAGAGAGAGAGAGATACGCATCGATACAGAGTGAGCGAGGAGGGTATGGAAATATGTTGCTGCGCAGTAATGGATAAGGAGATGGCGATAGGGACAGCAAGCGCGAGACACAGAGCGGCAGGCACAGGGATGGCATGATGGAAGGTTGAATAGCGATGGCGGGTCGAGTGGCATGTCGTGGGGGAGATGGGGCATGCGCGTGGCACAGGCAACTACGGTGTTCGAGAAGCTAGCCGAGGTGGACAATCTCATCGCAGGCTGGGAGGACATGCCAAAACGATGGGGTGGACGTGGACGGGCCTCGGGCAGACAGAGTTCAAGAAGAAACGGTTCGAATACGTTGAGGAGGGGAAGGGGGGGGGGGGGTGCGTGCAGCTACATGCCTACCAAGATGTGCGTTGCAACCTTTGCACCGTGCGTGGCT